AAGACGCGTGATGGTGCACGAGAGGTTGAAAGGAGATGGATGACGACGAGCATACGCACAACTTACGCGCGTTTGAGTAAATATCTCCGCGAGTATTTACACAGCGAGCTCGACTCCGAGATAGCCCGTGATTAATGGCCCTTCTTCAAGCTTTATTAACGACCTGTCCACCCAACCCCACCTTGACCACTTTTGGAAAACCTTGTGTAGCCGGCAAGTTCGCGTCATGATACGATTTTATTCAGATGCTTCCTGAAAATGCAGGGAGGAGAAAGGCTTGCTCGAATTCTTGCGAGCTCTTGTCGTGTGGGCATTTTGATTTTTCGAAATTCAAGGTTGCCGTTAAAAATTTATAGAATTAATTATTTGATTTATAGGATGGATGTTTGCTCGAAACACACATTATTTTTTCTCGATTATTCAATTGCGTGTGTATGTGTTAATTAATTATTATATATGATTCAATCGATTCTGCGAACGCGCATGGTTCTTCCAAGAACGGTCTTTTTGTTCTACAATCGACGTTGAGTCACATGGCGAAAGGACCATAAGGTACCGTATAAATACATAGTAATCCTATCCGATAATAGTCGCACGGTCAATTAAGATGACCGTCATAAGAACCAATTAAACGTAAGTGCGTGACCATCCTGGCTCGGGTTACGTATTTACGATCTAAAATTATGCGTTTTCGTCGCCCATGCTCTCCCATTACTTTGCTCTACGATTTCTTTCTCAAGTGGCTCCCTTCACCCTCATCTCTTACGATTATGAAATTTCATCTGTGTCTGTATGCGCACCTGATTTTATGCTACGCATATCTACTATATTCCCGACGCTTCGTCGGGGAAAACGTTTCCAAAGCTTCATATAATTCGTCGTCAAAAGTCGGCCATAATTGGCGCAATTATGTGTATAATGCAATTATCAGTTCATTTCCTCGGTATACAGATATACGATAGACTGAAGCGATACTCTTTGGAAATGCGTAAATAATATATTTGCGTATAAACGTGACGACCGGATGTGTGATCTACGTGATTAATCGCCGCGTTAATTAAAATGTTCGCTTAATAAGTTCGCTTAAACGGCGGGAAAAACAGCGCGGCGATTCATTTAGCAATTATTTTATGTAGTTTATACGCACATATACATCGCGAGTAAAGTACTTCGCACGATGCACACCCGCGCGTACGATAATGCAGCAGATTCCAAAATTACACCACGATAATAATGATTTCGAATAGATTAATCTCTCCGATGGGACATCATGCACGATTCGCTTTTAAGACATTCAACAGTGACATCTCTCTCTTTTCTTAAGGTGATGGTAATGGCTCTAGAGTCGTCTTTTTTTCGGAATCGACAAAATATCTACTTTATTAGTTTCATAGAATTAAAATTCCTTTTCCACGATAATATACACGTCCTATCAATATCTTCGGCTCTGTATATTTTGTGTTCAAAACAGAAAAAAAATCAAAAAATTATAGATTTCTACCATATATCCATATTTACCTTAATATGACGATCAATGCTGTCAATTTATCAAAACATTTACTTCATAAAAAAGTTATGTAGATTATATATGCTCGAAATAAAGCAGAGCCAGATATAAAATAAAGAAATAAATATATGAATCGTTAGAATTAGTTTAGAAGTCTAAACAAAGATATTTTGGTATTCTACGAATATGTATGTATTTATGTGCGATATTTGTAATGATATACAATGATATGTCTCGTAAATTATATGTTTGTATTGTAACGTGTGTAAGTCGTATTTGATCGATAAAACAGGACAATCCTTGCATCCTTAAGATTACACAAAAAAATCTCGCATGTGGATATATACATGGAATGCGTTTTGAAGAGTGGTCCTTTTTTTGAAACCCTTTGTCGTCCCGGTTTCTCAAATTCTTAATTGATTATACCAAATGAGTCACTACAAGGGCACAAAAAATGGAGTACGACGTTTATCAAATATATCTTCTTCAAAAGGCGACCACTGGAACTTGGTTCGTTTTTCACACACTCGCTATGTTATTTGTTCTTAATTAAAGATTTCGATATATAAGAAAGTTGCTTCCAGCTGTGAAAATAATATTATATGACGTTATTGTATACTTTGTACTCATACATTCGCGAGATTTTATGATTAGATTATTTTAATTTTCGATTTTGTGATAATTTATAATGTGATAATTAATTATTTTATACATAATTTCTTGATCTCAATATATCTATAACGTACTTGGTCGATAAACATCATAATAGAATATTTTGCGCTGTGGATAAAACATGCATATTTTTCTTTTCATATAGTTGTTGTTTAATCATTTTATGAAAATTTTATGCATTATTCTTTTCTCTATTTCTACTTTTAACGGGAGAAAAATAGAAATACATTATCCATTTGTTTTTAAATACTTTTATCGAAGTATCTCAGATTCGAATATATGTATACGCGCGTGATGGTTTTCTTGGATAACATCAACTTTAAAAGGAACAAATAAATTCTCGTTCGGTGTCGATACTTTCAGAAAAATGAACGGCAAGGGGATTGTTTTACGCCGGGAAAAAAATAGTCTCCGATAAACTTGCGGCTTGAATACGATCGAAAGGACAATATTTTCCCGACAGAGACGTAGGCAGCGAACGCTACGTATGCTGATATATGGACCCGTCTCGCGTTGATAGATACCAGAAACTTTACAACTTTAATTTTTCCCTCGACGTCAATTTTGGGTTTTAATCTTGACCTACACCTCGGACAGGGCGCGTCAGACAAGAAAAGAATTATTACCGTTACAATTAAATAACGTCCTTCTCCACGTGAATTGTATTTGAATTTCGGGACTTTGAATACTTCATCTGAAAAGGGTTTACATTTTTCAATACTAAAACAAGTTTTTTCAAAACAATAATATAAGATATATACAATAATATAATAGATACAAATAATTAATATAAGTAGATAAGTAATTTCACAAATTTTCTTCATTACAAAAAATAAAAGAATCTTCAGATATACGTAATATAAGTTCCGCGCAAAGCAGGATAAAATCATGAAAAATAAAATAATATTTAATATGATGATGAATTACTTAAACGCATCAGATAATGGCATGCATTATATAATATTTCTTCCGATTTTTTAATATTCTCCAATCGATAACAAATATTAATCCACAATAAGTCTGATATTAATTATTTAATCTTATCAGGAAGAAATATTAGCTCATAAGAAATTGCATTAATAAGATCATTGTAATATATGAGATACAATTGTAGTTTTTATTAAAAGATGATGCATTATTATATCGTCCTGTGGTACTAATGATATGGTTGATAATAAATGTACTTTATGTTAATCTTAATAGATTAACACGACCCAAAGGAATACCTTTCTGGTCAAGAAAGATGTATTCCTGTTTGGGACGTCCTGTATCAGGATTTTTTCGGTCTACCTATTCGGGACTCTTATTCATGTCAGGTGGTATTCATACTCAGGTGGCCAGCTTGCATTTAGCGAACCTATTGTTCACGCGTTAATGAAACACAGCTCGGCTTTGCCAACTTTTATCGTAGATATTTCAATTGCAAGTGCGAACAATTGATATTCCCGGCGTATATTCGCAATGGAAATATTCGGCACCTTATCGAACTTGTAGATATCGCGATTTAATACCAAGAATCAATTGCGCTTCAGAATAGAATATTTCATATCAATTGCAAAAGTGTAACATTTTAAAAATTTATTAATACTTTTTGAATCCACTATTTTTTTTTACTTTTGCATAAATTATTTCAACATAACATACGTTTTTCAAAACTTATAAAATAGTCTATTCACTTCAGGTCATTTTTCGTCAATTTAAAGAAAGATATTTGATTGAAGTATTATTAAAATATTTTGAGATGAACGTCATAATTATCATATGACTGAAGATAATCTATTATCTAGCCCACATGGGTTTGAATTCTATTCAGACTAATAAAAGAAATTAAAAAGTTATATATTTTTTTATTTTGCAAAAATATAATGATATTTATACATCATGCTCTATTGTTAATAAGTATAAATTGTAACAAATGTCATTACATTTCTAATATCATAAGGATGATTATACATTTTTCAGTCAAGCATTATAGATCTGGATTGCGGAATTAACACTTTAATAATGGCTACGTTGAAGATCAGCCGTTTCTAAAAATCAACATCGATTGCGCATTCACATTAAAATGGACGAAGATAACTTATTTCGAGCGCGACAATCTCTCTTATTTTGCGAAATCACGTTTATCTTCTTTTTTAAAACTTCATCTCGTGCATTATGTCAAAATGATAAATATCTGCGTCTGTTTACACGAAACTGCCCGGAGCCTAAAATTCAGCGCACGATTTAATCCAACTGTTTTCCACATTGCCTTATTATCTTTGTTGCTATACACGATATATGCGAGATATATTACGATAAAATTTAATGTACTGCGACTAAGACCGCGGCTAGTCCGAGCAATTCGCATTTCAAGAGTCCCTGCGTCTCGGTGGATGTTTGCACGCGTATACGCATCGAAGCGCTGCGAGAAAAAAAATTGGACAACGGCAGAGAAATTGATACGTGTGTGTAATGCGACTTGGCTCGCATTTAGAACACCGGACATATCCTCCCCATATTTTGCATTTCCAATGAAAAGTTATGATGCGTTTTATCTCATGAGACGTATTTCGCAAAACACATGGTGATTGTGTTATCCCGGTAATTGGGTCGACGGTAAAGCGAAACGTCGCGCGATGTCGACGATACTTCAGTCTGTTTTTTCAATAAGTAGCATCTACGACAGTTCAACGATTTGTAACCCCAGCTTAGATGATATAAAAATGCCCTGGTACGAGAGCTACAATACTCGCGTTCGAAACAGCCGCTGCGGGCAGAAACGAAATTACGCATCGTGAACACGTCCGATCGATTGCTGGAAAAAACGAGTTTAGCTCGGCGGATTTCTCCTTCCTGTTCCGCAATGAATTTCCAAATCCAGAATCCTCGCTGACGGCTGATCGTCAATCGGGCCGATCCTTCTAGAGCGACGATCATCAGCGTCACATCGCGAACGGTTTGATCGCGAACGGAGACGACGGATTAGTTATGAGGTAGTAGGTACCGCTTGGTCTGAAGAGCGACTTGTGACCACCCATGATAGATGCGTGTGTGTTGTTACATAAACCCGATTTAAATTTAGAGAAGCTGTCGCAACTTCTCCCGAGGAACCCTACGTGACTAGTGATAGACTCGGCGAAGTACTGATACGAGCGACTGTGAGAACACGAGCCTCCAAGATCTACCCCACAGCCGACTTGCTTTTGACCGCCGTTAGGATAAAAGTCAATATCTCCGATAGCTGTGAAGTAGCCAAGCCAACCACCATTAGTATGGATGATCTCCACATAACTCGCATCGTTTTTCGATATCCTGGATCCTGATTCTGACGACCTAAAACCAGGCAAAGCTGGATCTAGTCCTGGAACGATAAATTCACGCCATGACAGTGAATAATTATAATTAATTGATCGATTGAGATCAACATAATCAATTTTTATATTTGAAAATTTTATAAATGAAACGAGAAATGACGAGAACAATGTTTGATTAATACGTAAAAAAAAGTTTTTTTTCTATGAAAACGTAAAACTTTCTATAAAATAACACATGCATATTGAATGCTTAATGCCTATCAAACATGAAAAATAAACGCATGTTTCTCAAAAATTTGATAAATCTCACAAAATGTTTCTGTAAAAAATAATAATACATTAATATTAAAATATATACTATCACATTTTTCTACGTGAAAAGAAGAGAGATAAAATTCTTTTAATCGTTTATATAATCTCCAATGAGACTCAATAATGTTTGATAAAAAGGATGGCTTCTTGTCGCACGAAAATTTTTAATACTAATCAGAATATTAAACATAAAGATACAATATATTTTATGCAACGTCAAATATCGTTCTTAGTCGAATATGAAAGCTATTAGATGTAAAATGTCAAGAACTTACCCACGACATAACCGATATCGCTGCTAGCGTTGTAAGCAGCGATTCCAGCTATATGGGCACCAAGAGAGTGACCGATCACTTTGGTTTCCCACGAATTCATTCCATTTTTTACAAGAAAATCAATCATAGTGGCGACATATTGACCAATTACTGTGACACTCCTGCTAGCCGAAATATAGGACATGTTACTTATTGCACTCCAGTCGATAATAATAATGTTGTAATCGCTAATCTGAAGATAAGCTGTAACATAAGAAGTAACAGACATTAGTAATAATCTAAGAAAAGTAACGAAAAGGAAAAGGTTAACGCTGTCTTGAAACTTACTTAATTTCTATACAGAAAGAAATTAACGTTCTATATGTTCTATGTTGAATTTTCTATAATAATTCTCTTAAGTTACGAAACACTAATAAATATTTATATACTAATGACAAATAATCAAATACCATCACGAATTAAAATGCACGATTCGCTGCTGCCCGAACTCTTCCATCCATGAGTTATAATACGCGTTGGTTTTGTAGGGTCGAAATTGCTGTTCTTAAGAGCATCTTCATCGTCGACATAGAGCTGCTTCGATTTGATGAGATTGTCTCTTTTGTATAGATAAAAGAGGATACTTTTTGACAAATCGCTATCATTATATGCATTTTGCTGAACGTTTACGTAGTCGTCTTCCAACGCCAGCTTCACCAAGTTCTTGTTGTCATCGTATACATACGCTACTTCATTTTCAAATAATGCATAATCCAATGAAGTAAAAATATCGTCAGAAAATACTTCTTTCACTGGAAGCCCTGCGCAATCGGAGATACAAGATACATCGCATAATACAAAATGAAAAAGGAAATGTATAAGAGGAATATATCAAACGAAAATATTGTTATAGTATAACAATTATCTTTCTATTCAAATTTTAAAAAGTTATACAAGTTAATGTGCGAATTTAGAATGCAATAAATTTGTCTTTTTACAGAAAAACATTTAAATAAATATTTTTACCAGTTACAGTGCAGGCAAATAAAACACCAATTAAAACATGCATCACCATGTTTAACATTATTTTATTGTTAATACCGCACATTCAGCCGCTGACTTATAAAGTACCTTCTATCAATATATTTATATACAATTTTATGCTTAAATTTTATCAATACTTAGGTATTTATATAATTTTAGCGATAAGATAAATTTCTTTTGCAGTATCGTAACTATAATATTGATTATTTGATAATATCTGAGATATTATCTTAATCAAATTGTAATATTTGTGTGTGTGTGTGTGTGTGTGTGTGTGTGTGTGTGTGTGTGTGTGTGTGTGTGTGTGTGTGTGTGTGTGCATCGAAATTTTTGCACAAATTTATTGGAATTAAAACTTTTTTTATATTTTGTTAAATGTACGATGCATTTTTCAATCTTTAAAAATAAATGAATGATTTAATATTTTCTTTATTTATGCATAATCATTTTTAATAAACTATATTAACATGTACTGAGTACCAATGATAAATAATAAGAATAAAACATAAAACGCAATTATATCATACAAATATATAAATAACGCAATTCTAAACTTTATTGTGATTGAAAAGAAGAGGATTTTACTCAAGCTTTTGAAAGCTTTATATACACAGAACAATACATACTATATATAAATTACTCGTTTCAAGTATTTTAAAAGTTCATAAATCCACAAATTTATCATAAGTTTATTACAAGCATCAAATTTAAAACATATCCTGATTTGCGTAATAAGTTTAAAATATTATAATTCAATCAAGATTATTAAATTAAAACAAATATGATTTACTTATTATATAATGTAACTTCTTCGATAACATTTTGTGTGATATTTTTCAAAAGATAAATATTCTTGTTTCGAGTATATAATAACAAGAGTCTCTCTCTCTCTCTCTCTCTCTCTCTCTCTCTCTCTCTCTCTCTCTCTCTCTCTC